TGAGCAAAGTACATGATATGGATGCATGAGTATGCTATGAGTCCTATTATTTTGTATGCTAATCAAAACATGGCTAATCATACTAGACTTTGTATACAATGAGCACAGAATATATCCAGTATCTCAACTAGCACATAGAGAGAATTTGACACAAACCAGTTGCTCTTATATGTATAATGACATACTTAAAAAATAAAAAAAGCTATAAAATAATTTTAAAGGCTACAGTTAATGTAAAATTGTATTCTTTTACTTTCATACCTCAAAAGATGATATTTTCCTATCAGTTGCTCATTCAGGTCATTTTTACAGTTGATGAGACTTGTTGTTATAGATCTTATGAAAAAATTAAAGAGCAAGAAATCTTAATTTTCACTGTGCATGTGTGTATAAATACATGGTGTGTGTGTATGTGATGTGTGTAGGCACATATGTCACAGCATATATGTAGAGGTCAGAAGATAATTTTGTGGAGCCAGTTTTCTCTTCCCACCCTTACACAGTTCCTGGGGATTAACCTCAGGTCACTAGTCTTGCCTGTTGAGCCATCTCACCTGCCCAAGAATTTATCTAATCATGGCTATGAAGAATGGAAAGATATAACTGTCCCACTGATGTCCCTCCAGTAGTCTTTCCAAGTCCTTAAGTGGTTTCTTCTCATTTGGCATCAACAACATTTCTATAGAGGACTAAGTAAGTGGTAGAGTGCAAAAACCTGCACCGATTGAAGAAGTCAGGGTTCCACACTGAGAGAGAGAAGTGGACATGGACACCCACCTCTAACCAGGAAGCTACCTGCAAATGATACCCACTGGCAAAAGAAAAATCAATTTTCTCCAGTGGAGTCTCAGTGGGTGTATAATGCACACTTCAGGGCAGCCCCACGCCCAGGAGTAGTTAGAAAACATCAAACAATCTCAATGGTATTTTGTGGGCTGTTTTTCTCCTTTTGCTTTGTATGGGCATTTTTTGGCCTTATTAGTCCTTTACTTGTTTATTTTGATGTCTGTTTTGGTGAGGTGATGTGTGTGGGTGTGGGTGGGTGTGGAAGAGAGAGAGAGAGAAAGAGAGAGAGAGAGAGAGAGAGAGAGAGAGAGAGAGAGAGAGAGAGAGAGAGGGAGAGAGAGAGTTGGTTTTATATTTGTTTGCTTGTTTTAGAGAGAGGGGGTAACATAAAGTTGGGTGGGTAGGGAGGTGGGGAGGATCTGGGAAGAATTCGGGCCAGAGAAAAACACAGTCAAAATATATTGTATGAAAAAAGTTTTTTAAAATAAAAAAAATAGTCTTAACTGAAACACACACACACACACACACACACACACACACACAAAGAATAGGAATCTCACAGTGTTCGTGGGACTTACTTAAAGTCACACGCATAGACTGGACTCAACCCAGGCCTCTCACCCCGAGTTCAATATCTTCCTTTCTCACCTTGAGACAACTGGGTTGCATTGACAGCATAGTGGTTCTTCTGGGAGTTCAGATGGAAGTAGGGAGTACATAGCTCTCAGGAAGAAGCTAGAGGAAAAACTAAGAACAACTCTAAGACCCTGTGATCTCTATCTATAGAGTTACCTTAGCTCTGTTTTCTATTGCTACAATACAATGCCACAGATTGAATAGTTTATAAGGTGAAGAATGGTTCTAAGGGCTATGAAGTCCATGGGTATAACTATGGGCAGGACATAGTGATGGCATTTGATGACAGTCTTTGTGCTGCTCCATAACTTGGCAGAAAATGAAACGACAAGAGCACAGGTTTTAAAAGAGCAAAAACAAAAAACATACTGGACAGATTATTAGTCTAGTCCCACAGAAAACAAAGTAAAATAAATCCATTCCTGAAGGTTCTGCTTTCATGACCTAGTCCCCTCTTGGTAGGTAGGTCCCACATCCCCAAGCTATCACTTCAAGGATCAAGTTTCCAACATCTGAGTCTATATTACACTAAATTGAAACTTAAGACTCAGAGAACATTGTGAAAGAGGGACTAGAAAGAGGGTAAAAGCCAGAAGATCAAGAGAAGGGATGTGAAATGCTATCACCTGGGTAAGACATAACCATTGCAACAATAAATTCACAATAGCTGCAGATGTTTGCACTGGGACTGCACAAGACTAGGGCCATCAACAAAAGTCAAACACAGATAGAGGTGTGCTTCATAGGTCCCTGCCCTTCACTGCAGAACTGTTTGCTGCTGGTAGACTTACTGAGAGGGGGTAGTAATTGCCTTCAGTTGTGTGCCCACTGGTGATCCCACCAAGCTCAAATAGATAAAATCTAATTGTTCACATATATGGCCTGGGTTAAACTAAATGAATCACAAAACAAAATCAAAAGTCACATTTCTTGTTAAGGGACTGGTAGGAGATAAGTGAGAATGGAAAGAAATAAGAAAGTGTAGGGGGAAAGTAATCAGTATACATTATATACATGCATGAAATGGTCAAAGAATAAAATTAGTCATTAAAAAAAATTTAAAAAAACACTTGTAGAATAAGTGAATGTCATATGCTTACTTTAAATTACCAGGATTTGAGTGTCTACTCAAGGAGATATTTGTGAGTTTGGAAATGGTGACATCTAATACTCAATCTCACTTGTAGCTTATACTGTATGTATCATAATTATCTAGCTAGCTAGCTAGCTAGCTAGCTAGCTAGCTATCTCTGCATTACTCTAAACCTTCAGTAAACTTTGTCTGCACACATTATTGTAGGAATTCCTTGAAGGCAATAAATTACTCTACTTTGGGAGTGGCAAGTGCTCTGGGAGAGCATCCACAGCTAGAATTCATGAGAGCCAAGAAACCTGCTAGAAATAGCACTGCCCATTTGTAGAGAAAGGGAATCTCCCTTGACAGTCTTAGAAAGTGTGAAGATTAGAGTTCCTATAGAATGTGAGCATGAGGCTCATGTCATTCTAGAGAATTAGAAGTATGGGTGACCCCACAACTCTGAGGAAACCTCTAAACGGGACAGGATGAAAGTCGTATTGCCTTATTCTGAAGATGTGTTTTCAGAAGTATGAAGAACTGTGTCACAGTTTGGCAGATCTGGGGGCAGAGGTGAGCAGGTCAGCAATGAGATGATACTCTGCTGCCTTCTAAGTGAACCATAAGGAAGAAGATGTCTGCTTAGCTGCCTATGTGGCCAAGTCTGGCGGGTTTCTAGGTGAACCCTAAAGGCCCCTGGTTCTACCAAAGGCGGGGTCACTTCTCAGCTGGGCTCACTGCTGAGTACAAATACCCTAAGTGATGTGTTCTACCTCCCATTTTCTAGGTCATTTGTAACCAATCACATTAGGTAAGAAAAAGAGCCCCTAAAGTAGAACTTTTACCCAGGCACCTTTAAATATATATAATTTAACACATGGCCTCTGCATTTCCTTTGATAAGGACCAGGGAATGTCTAAGCCTTAGCCCATGAAGGCGAGCATCTACTTTAGTTTTGCGGGGGCCAGGCTTCCCCCTCCATTTCTCTTCTGAAAGTGTCTCAAAATAGACACTCTTCTGATGATGGCCACAGGAGAGCTCTTTCCTGTTCAGCTGTGGTAAATCAAAACCTACTTCAGAGAACACAAAGCCACCAGTCTGAGGGGCTTAGAAAAGAAGGGGTGTTGTGTGCTGTTAGATGTTAGAAAAGAAAACCTCAAACTATTGAACTAGAAGTGACTTTTCTGTGTAGGTCTGTGTTGAACGCTGTGTTTAATCATCTTTCCTTAAGAAACAAGGGGGGGGGGATCCCATTTCCAATGAATACATTCAAAATTGTTTGGGTTTTAACACTATTGTGTTTTAAATTAAATAAAAACAACTTAAAGTTTCTAAAGGTGTTGTCAGCATCTCTTCACTGGAATTAATACTATACCTGATCTTCACCAAAAGGCCAAGAATAAGAACACTTAAAGTATAGTGAGCTCTTAATATAACCCAAAGGCACCTTTGAAAGATGGATATGAGAGTAATTCGACTGGTAGATTATAACATCCACCAATCTCAAGAAGCCTCTGCTTCCATACTTACTTCTTCTTTGCTCTAGTGTGATTGTCTAGAAATGCCCATTGACAACAAAAATAAAAATATCCAGAAAATGTCCCATGACCCTTGGAATAGATATCTTTGATAATTGAGGCCAAAATATGAGGGAAAAGATGAAGAGAATTTCACCATAATGACTGGAAAGACAAATCTACAACCAAAAGGCCAAATACCTCCCAGACATCTCCATGAATGAACCAACCCACCCAAAACAGATGTGAGACAGAAGAGCCTGAAGAAGAGAAGTTGATACTTTCTAACCTGAGACTTTGGTTTTCGTCCCTGGTTTATTCAGGAAGCATTTGTTGACTCTTTTAAATGACAGATCGGGCTCTGTTGACTTTCCCTTCTTCCTCCCCTATTTAATTCCTGGAAATGTCGGGTACCTAATAATATCTTTCTTGTATCTAGTGTTAGGCACTGGGGTGTGTTTCAGTTTTCAACTTTTCCTCCCAATTGTGGCTTCAAAACCCCCATTGGATCATCTATACAAAGTTCTATTAAACATACACATTAAAGAGCCTGCACTAATATTACACACATACCAACTCTTTCCTGCCCATCAGAAGGCAGCAAAGTGAGCTAAGAACAAGAATAAAAAAGATCAACTCCAGGCTTTTTACTGCAAAGCATGTGTCCTTTCCACTTTGCCATGGTTCTGGCCCCAAAGAAGAGTTGCCATCAAATATGTGGATATTTGGGTCACCTTAACATTGGCCATAATGTTGGTAAACAAAACTCAGGGTAATGCGAGGTCCAGAGGAAAGCAACTAGAGAGAAAAAAGAGAAACGGACAAAGATGGGAGAATTTGTCACACAGCTCTACTCACCATTGCAAATTCTTCTCAGAATGCTCCAAAGTCATTATGAATGAAGAAGCCATGGAGAAAGGAAACAACAATCACATCTCACTGATTTCCAGACACTATATCCTTAACGCTTTTTCTATATACTACAATATAATTTTTATTTGTCTTTTCTCCATTAAGATGCACAAAATATATAAATACTGGTTGTATTAAAGGAAATACAGCATCAGTAGCTGATAATAAAAGATTTTTGAAGACTATTAGAGTTTATTGCCAAGAAACATTCAGATATCTACTACCATCAAGTGTAACACATGTTTCTAATATGTACTTCATAATGTTCACATTCTATTTATATGACTCTCTAGAATCTATCTTCTCTCTCATACATACAAACACACACAGACACCATTGCACTGGAGGTACACATGCTGTGTAGAGGATGATTTGTGTCACAAACATCTCTCTTAGTTCTCTGTTAGCATCAAAGGTTGGCTCAGAAAACACCGGTTAAAAGTAAAGATGCTGCCAATAGAACATTGGCCTCTTTCAGTCTCTAGCTTATCAGTCAAACCTGGCCCCCTTTCCCATCCCTTGTATATTCAGATCACAACTATGTGTGTAAAAGACAGTCTCCTCTGAGGTAGCAAGTAGACCCACCCTGAAAGGCGAGTTTAAAAGTGTCCTCTTCAATGGCTAAAATGCTCTTGGCCATTTAACATCAGACAGTTCCATCTCTGTGCCTCTGCATCACCACATGGCAGCCCAAAGCTTTATGTTCCTCCGTCACACTCCTCCTTCCATCTGGCTCATGATGGAGGCATGAAGGACCACCCCATGGACCTCTGGGAAATGAAGGATAGCTGACCTGTTGAACCTTGTGATCACGAGGTCTTTGTGGCTCATTTAGTCTCAATTAATCTCAATTGGTCTTAAGAAGACTCTCATTCAAGGCAATATTCCCAGTGCCCATAATAAGGAATAATCATAATTCTAAAGTGCTTTTTCTCTTAAAGCTTATATAGGCCAAAAAAGGTCTTAGATTCCTCAAAACTAATCAGAGAGAGTTGAGATATGTTGACATATAAATGGTCAGCACTGGTAAGATTGAATACTGCCCCCAGATAGCTGCTATGGGCCCACATCTGGCCAGTAGTGCAGTAGTTCAACTTCTTCTCCTCCATTAGCACCAGTTCCCCTGGATATTTAGAGTTCCTCATGAAGACCTTGTGGTTTAGGGGCTGATTGTTGCAAGACTGACTCCGGAAATATACTTTGGAATATACAAAGTACAACCCAGTGTCACTGATCACAAGGCCACCTTTCTTATACTTCACTCCAGAGATCAGAGCAGTTCCGTATGTGTCTTCCCATTCCAGAAGGACGGACCTGGAGTTGGGGTTGCCTGTAATAAACCAGAGGGGAACTTTCAGCCAGAAAGTCTCACACATCTGACAAGCTAAGCTTCCAAGGCAAAACTGTGGGCCCTTCCTTAACAAAAGCTCAGAATGTGGCAGCTGATGTAAAACTGGCTGAGGAGTCAAAGCATGGTCCATCACTGAGGTTCTTCAGCACCTTTGTCAAACTGCCTACCCCAATGTAATCATCCATGTGATTGGGACGAATTTAGTGTGGGTCTCTGATCAATCTCAGGGAAGGTTATTAGGATAATTTCAGCTCTCTGGAATAAACATTTTATGATCTAAACTAGATCCATAAAGGAAAGGATCTCCAGAATTCCACATCTGGACAAAGTCTCATGATTAAGTGGTCCACTTCCTTGTTTAGTTTGGATGCCTTGGCCTCTTATTTTGGGTTAATCCCCTTTCCTTTTATTCACACAGCATTATGTACTTACACACAAGTACTCAATAAGTGTTTGTGGACCCAGATGAACTTTTCTAGTCTCCAAGTAATTACAGGAGCCATAGTATAACTCTTCTTGTGATATTTACCTGCATTTTTAATGTTTACTTTTCTAATGGAGGTGCCCATAGTATATTGTACTAAACTACTTCTTCATTTTATAATATAGGCTGAAAGCCCACAAATGCCAAGACTATCTCTTCTTACTCAAAATAGTGCATCAGTCACCATCTGGTGCTCCACTTGGACTTATGCCACAAGTCCCCTTGCGGACTTTGGAATGGTTGAAAAGAGTGTACATTTTATGGGCAAGATCAAGTCATACACAACTTCATAGCATTAGGATTGACAGATTAGGGTCATGAGATCCCATATGAATGGTCTTGAGTGGTAAACACAACTGTCAATAATACTTTCCAAGAGACTACATGGAAATTGAGCAGTGGGTCCACATTTTTCCAAAGACTTTCTGTCCCCACCCAGTCCTTCCAGACACAGACCTGTTAAATGGGCGACACACCTCGGCTCTTTTTTTTCAGAGGGTGAACTGGGATTCTCTGCATCATAGAGAGATAAAAGAGATGTGAAAATTATTATGAAAGATGTCAAATGCTACCTTGATGGGACTCTAAATCCCACCATTTAAATACAAGATTTTCAGAGCATAGGGAGAAATATTCCAGTACACACTCATCAAGAAAATCTAAACTGTCTGACTCATGGTGAGTCTGTATTTCAAAAACAGTTTAAAAGGACAAGATAGAGAAAGACAGATGTATACATAAATTATATTATGATCAAACATTGTGAATACAAACTTGGCTGCACAAAGTAGCCTTTTCAGTTACCCCATTTAGAACTTGCCTTGGCCCCTTTAGTTCGAGATTATTGCCCTAATTATAATTGGCAAACAATATTAGAAGCTGACTGACTATAATGGTGGATGCAGTGAACCCCTCAGGCTGACTGGACACCCTGATTCTGCTGACAGAGTCTAGAAAGGACTACTGATTCTACAGTCTATTCCCAAATTGATTATACTAAGACCTCCTCATTGATCATGAGGTTGTCCACAATTTTACTCCATCATGTGGCCTTAGCCTGAGTTCCTCTTTGCATGGCATCAGCTTTACTCCCCAACTCCATCCCATCGAACACTTGCACACAGCATGAGTCTCATGACCTGATTATGCCCCCTTTTTCCCTGCCCCTGACGTGTGCTCATTCTGTCTTGAACGCCCTTCAGATGAGATCTCTGTGTTAAATTCCTATCAATTCTCTAAGAATCATCTTACACTGCTCTTCCTTTGGGAATCCCTTCCACCCCTTTTGTCAAATATGATCCTTCAACCTTTGAAGCCTAAGATCCCTCTGTCTTTGCCTCTCTTGATATTCTGGCTCCTCCTTGCTGGGACAACTATAAAAATTGTCTTTATTTCCTTCTTGTCCAGGAAAACAGCAGCTCTCTGGAACACTTGATGATCTAAATGAGTACCAATGCTGCTGGGCTTTGGGATCCTGGCCACCAAGTCCTTCCCTAATGTCATTTTACTATCTAGTAAAGTCACAAGAGCATTTAGCATTATTTAGCACAGTATCAGTAAATTAAATTGAAGTCATTAAAATTGACAATATCTTTTAAAAAAACACTATTTCTCTAACTTCAAATATTTCAGCTAAGGTAGAAATCTAGTACTGAGCTTCATGAATTCAGCTAATCAATACATTCAAAAAATATTTATAGGAAGGTATTTGTGAACCTTAGGCTTAGGACTAGATTATAAAACACACACTGGGTGTGAAAATATCCCAGTCTACTGAGAACCTTATCTAAATAATCGTGACCTTTCTAGCACCTAGAACAACCCATCTTGAAAGAAGTGTGAGTGAGCAAGATAGACAAGACTGGACCTCTTGTATACCACAAACCACCCGAGCGGATGACCTGGCTTTCTGCCATGCACTAACAGGAAATGGAGCAAAGAACCACATGTTTGCTTATCTTTATATTTCTCATAGAACCTAGTATAATATTACTCCTATAAAATATACTCCTATAATATCTGCTGGATAGGTCCTTGTATTTATTTAGAAATACAAGGAAAGACTTTTTCCTGCCTCAGGCTCTTTGTATGTGCAATGTGGAATGCTCTCTCTCTGCTCTATGACCCATACACACAACTCTTCTCTTCAAGAGGCTTCTGATTGACCCCATGTGCATCAGCATAAACACTCTTAGTTTTTTTTTTTTTTTTTTTTGGTTTTTCGAGACAGGGTTTCTCTGTGTAGCTTTGCGCCTTTCCTGGATCTCGCTCTGTAGACCAAGCTGGCCTCAAACTCACAAAGATCTGCCTGTCTCTGCCTCCCAAGCGCTGGGATTAAAGGTGTGTGCCACCACCGCCCACCCTGAAAAAGCATTTTAAATGGAAGGAAAAAAATCTATAATAGCTATAGTATCTCCCAGGAAAAAAAAATCACTTGCTATATTGGTTTGTTCTTTTCTTAGAAGTTAGAAACATGCATATGTACTTCATGATAAGTATTAAACTAAAAATGGCCTTTGATAACTTGTCTATTTACCTAACAATATAAAGTATGCAATACTCATGGCATTAAAAGTTCTACTAGGTGGTCCTACTAGATATTTTATTTGCCATTCATGATGTTCTTCTATTAATGTGCCATGGTGTATTCAATTCATCTCCTAGTCTGAGGGTTAGGTTTCTTCCAAATTGTTGTTTTATAAGAAAGTGATGGATAGGGCTAGAGAAATGGCTCAGAGGTTAGGAGTGCTAGTTGCTCTTCCAGAGGATGCGAGTTCAATTCCCAGAACCTATATGACAGCTCACAACTGTCTTTAACTCTAGTTCCAGGGGATCTGGCACCCTCCCTTAGATATGCATGCAAAACACCAATGTACATTAAAGTAAAAATAAATAAATCTTTAAAAAAAGAAAAAAGCCAGGTGGTGGTGGTGTATACTTTAAAGGAAGGAAGGAAGGAGGAAAGAAAGGAAGGAAGAAGAAAGAGAGAAAGAGAGAGAGAGAGAGAGAGAGAGAGAGAGAGAGAGAGAGAGAGAGAAAGGAAGAAAGGAAGGAAGAAAGAAAGGAAGAAAAAGAAAGGAAGGATGGAAGAAAGGGATGAACACTATATATATAAATGTTTGTCTATACCTCCTAAGAGAATTTTCCTAAGAGAATCTTTTAGTGATGAGATTACAAAGCAGACTAATAGTTCAAGCCCTTGGAACAAACTTTCCTAGTGTTTTTCAGGATACCTACAGCAATTTCCATGCATGCTGGATGAAACTTGTGGCAGATATGGCCCTTTTTTTCTCTCACGTATTTGAAAATCTTTGTTTTCTTATTTTTGTGAATTTGATGGAAGAAATAAATATCCCTTTCTTTAATCAGCTCCTCTGAGTAGTAAAGTTACTCTTTTGACTTTCTTGTGATAGTTTATCAACTTCTGGCCATCTACATTGATATAAAGAAGACAACGATTGGGATAGATAGAGCTGACTCATCTGTCCATTTGACCTTTATTCACTAAAATGACTCCATGGAGTGGGTGACGGGGGGAGGGAGGGTGATCAACACCTGTACACAAGCCATGTCCCACCGACTTTCAAAGTGATTTCACTTTAGAAATCCTGAGAGGTTTCGTTTTTCTAACAGGACATTTCCACTGTGCCTCTGTAATCTGGGCTTTCTGGCACTTAGAGACTTGAATGCAGAGCTGAAAACCAGAGCACACCATGGTGGCCTCTGCAAGAGCATGTATCCTCAGGCAGGAGCTGACTGGTCACTCTCTGAGTAGGAAGCCAGCTCTCCTTAATGGATGGCCACTGTTGCCTGTTGCCTTTCAGCTGCCTTCAAATGTATTAGGATAAAGCTGCTCTATTGCTTTTGCAAAGGCAACTGCTTTGTATCATTTCAGGGCCATTATTGAGAGATGAGAGTTTCTCTATGAATCAGAAAGCCTTATAGGTAACAAGGCACAGAGCGGGGTGGCTGTTCTCCTGGATGACCCAGTTTCATACCAGGAGGATTGGGCATTCCATCTAATTGGTCCAGTATTTTGTATCTCTTCTGGAAAATGGAAAATAGACCACCTTCTCTATAAGCTCCTTTCCAAATTCATGAACCTGACTCTAAGACAAGCAAAGCAGATCCTGAAATCTCTGTTCAATCTCCTGAAACTATGAGGTTTTATGTTCAAACTGGTCATTTTCCTCTTAGCCTGGATTTAATATGTATGTGTGAAGGGGGTGCTTTATCATCAAACTCATCAAGGGCATCTTAAGTCCTCTGTGGGAAAGATGTACAGTCCTGTGAACAATGGCTAAACTCTTCCCCAAGCTTTGTATGATATCAGAAGAAACACACTAAATGAATGCAATTCATTTACTTCTTAAAATTGTGTTTTGCATCTTACAAAACATTTAAAAAATACAGCTTAATTCTTGAGTAGTCACTTTCAGTTTAAAAAGAAGAGAGGACATCCTAAGAAACACCTGTGTCTTCCTCTACCCCCCTTCTGTCCCGAGGAGTCACAGTCACCACTATGTGAGATGGGACCAAGATACCCAGGGAAAGAGCCAGGGGAAAAAGTCCAGGGTTATCTACATATGTGTCTCTTTCCAAAGTCAAGCCCAAATTCATTTGCATCATATGCAATGTTCATTGAGATACACGACTATTGAGCAATAAACTGCATCCAGTATTTTCGTGTTGTTCACAGAACCAGGCTGAACGCAGAGTCGAAGTTCCCCTGGATCTCTTGCCTAGGAATCCTAATCCTGAGAACAGAGCAGACTCCCAGGCATCCTCCCAACATTGTTCAGTGTTGAGGACCACTTTAGGGAACTCAAAAGACACACATAAAAGTACTTACGCATTTGCTTTTCGAAAGATGATGCTTTGAGGCTTTGGTTGGTGAGCTAGTGAAAGAGAAAGATTCATACAATGAATGTGGAGTTATTTAAGGCAAACAGGCAGAAAATCCCCATCAGTCCCTAGAAAGAGAACTCAGATCCTTTGAATCCTTCCTGGCTTAGACTCGGGACACACAATGGCATTTGGAGTAGTACTAAGATTGCCAAGTCTTTTCAAACAGATTTAGTCCACACTTCAGAGCAAGATTCCAAATTGTTTTTCCCCTTGAATTGCTAATTGTGAAGCTGTAGAAGCTCAACACACTCTTGACAACTGAGAAAGGAATAACTATTTGCCTCAGATTCTCTAAAAGATGGAAAGTATTCCCTTTGACCAGTGGCTCTCAACCTTCCTAATGGTGTGACCTTTTAATACAGTTCCTCATGTTGTGGTGACCCCAAACATAAAGTTATTTCATTGTTACTCCATAACTGTAATTTTGCTACCGTTATGAACCATAATGTAAATATCTGATATCCAAGATATCTGCTATGCAACCCCTGTGAAGGGGTCATCCAACCACCCCGAGGGGTCGCGACCCACATGTTGAGAACCTCTGCCTTTAAGGCCGTGAGCCTGTTTCTCCAACTATGGAATAGAAATACTATAACAACCGTTTCCTAAAACGGAGGAGATTAAAAAGATCTTTACCATTAAAACAAACAAACTAACAAAAAAAAAACCCAAATCATTGCAAGCAACACAGTGACCCACATGCCGCAAACTTGGGGCCTTATTAGTCCACGTGCCAGGCTTACCTCACGGAGTTCTGCCAGCTCCTTCTGCAGATGGAAGAGCTGATACATTCCTAACCCCAATCCAACCAAAGCCACCAGAACCATGAAAAATACCACTGGTAGCCATAGGTCTGGGTTGTGGTCATTCCGCTTCTTTAGAGGGGGCAGTGGCGGCAGAGGTGGTGGTGGCGGCGGTGGTGGTGGTGGTGGTGGTGGTAGTTGTGATGGAGGTGGTAGCGGTGACGGAGGTGGCGGCGGTGGTCTCCTCTGGTCTGGCCTTCCAGGCACAGAGGATGGACAGGGGAAAACTGACCCTGGAGGAGCCCAAGGAGAAGCGGCACTGCTGTCCACCCAATAAATTTGGGGACACGGATAATTCACGGGCTGCTGCATGGCACCCAGCCCCGGGGAAAGCTTGTCTTCTCTCAATCTTGCGGAGACTCTTGGAAGTATGAAGGGCAGGACTCCTGACGCGGACTGTTCCAGAGAAGGTGAGCTCTCTTTATAAAGTTTCCATAGTCAAGGGAAACACCTCTCTCTCTCTTTGCGTCTCTGTGAGACACCCACTCACTTTGCATCGAAGCCAAGAAGCCTCAAAAAGCTCTCAGCAACCCCAGGAAGTTTCCGCCCACAAATTTCTGACGAAAAGTCTTCGAAATTCCAATTGGCGTTTCAGTGCGGCCCGAGAAGGCTGAGAAGTACCTGCCTGAGGTCCCGTTCAGCAAGTCAGCTCCGGATTCACCTTGAGGACATGAGCTGTTCCCCAGCTGCAAGGAATGAATGTCCTGTGTGGCATTTTGGTGCTGATGCTCTGGGAAAAGACTGTGGAGATTAGCTAGAGAAGCTATCCTCACATCTTAGCTTTTGCATGGGTTACTTAATCCCCCGCTGCTGCCCTTCCCTCAGCCGAATACTACCTCCCAGAGCCTTGCAGATCACCTTTATTACATAGTTGAGAGGGTAAAACCTGCCCCACCCGTTCCGCAGATTAGATCAGAGGTTGCAAACCACCGGCCTATGCCTCTTGTGGTACAAACAGTGTTGTTTCTTTCATTAATTGCCGCCTTTCAAAACTGGGATCACACACATTAAAACTACATACTTCGATTCTCTTTGAAAACAGTGGAATATTAGACACCCCTGGCCATCTCTGAATGCTAGTTAGCTGCCACCCCAAATTGTCGCAGTTGTTCCCAGCTGCCCTGTCCCCACTGTTGCTTCCTATCCCACTGCCCTTGAGAAGTGGCCTTCCAAGCCTCTACAATCATTTGTCTTTGCAATCCCTGTTATGGTCACCAGATGAAACTTGACATGCCCAACTCAGAAGCGTTTGGGATAAGCAACCAATAATTTTTATGGCAACTGTGCCTTAACCATCCCATAGAACATACCAAAACTTCATTCAACAATTACATCAAATTGAACTCAGTATCTTATGCCTTTCTAAAACTGCCCCTTCTGCCTGGGTTGACTTCCCCCTTCTGGCCACACACACACACAACATTTACGTCTAATAAGCTCTAAGAACTCAGCCTTGGTTCCCCTCATTTTCCCATATAAGCTGTGTAAATCCCAATAAACTCCTATATACCGCCTTTGGGGCAAGCTCCTCTTTTGAAATGTTCTTAGTTTTTATTTCATGCTTTGGGGTGTCTGAGATGGTCATCCTGCCTCTCTCAACTACACCAAGCCAACACTAAAAGTGTCATTTCCTGGCAGCTGTCACACTGCCCCACCCCAGCTACTAATCCAGCCCCTTTCTCCTGAGGCCACTCTGTGGGCAAGCTCATGCTTCCGGTCATCAGGCCTGGATTTTTTGTTTTCACCTGAGACACATTTTTTAATCCTTCCCTCATTCGCTGGCCCTGGTTAGTCTCTCCTTACTTTCCTACCTCCCACTCCCAGCATTCTTCAAAAATCATCATTCTGCCCTTCCATATCTCTCTTTACCCCTCCTTTGTTTCGTTTTTTTGGTAGAGGAATCAGAAGCCCATGCCTACCCATCCTCTACTGCCCTCCAGTCACAGGGAGAGGAGTACCTAGCCAGAAGAGACAAGAGAGAAACTTAGGAAAACTGGTTTGGAGTTTGGTAGTACATTACACCCTGGCAAGATGAAGCAAGAAGAAACAACCTTGTGAACAGTCACAGAGACCCATCGCATTGGTACCCAAACCTTAGTAATGAAAAGAAATCCTCATTCTAAGTAGATCTTAGCACTGTGGCTCCTGAGGGAAAAACTAATGCATGAGCCAGCAGGCCGGTGGCCCCCGTGTGCCAGAACCTCAAGTTGAGTTCTCTCAGTCTCCTACTCCTATGATTCCAGGGAATCAGCTGGAAAGTTGACTCAATAGGCTACAGGCTAGAGCTCTGGAAATGACTCAGTAGCAGCAGAGGAGGGGGAGGCATAGTCAGACAACCTGCTGTTTACCTTAACTAGCCTAGAGAAGCCCTCCAAGGCAAACTGCCAAGTAGACAGGACGATCGCACCTGTGAGCCAAGACCACAGTACACTCCAGGTTTGAGTTCACTTATGAGCATGAGCCTACGAGTTCAACTTCTCTAAGTACTTCCAGGATGCTCATTTATCAACTCAGTCCTATAGCATGAATTTTAGAAGGTCTTATTAATAAAATCAAACCTGGAGCCAGGTATTGGGGTGAATGCTGGAAGATCAGAGAAGCAGAACAAGCCATAGCCACCTCCCCTTGCCAATTCCTCAGCTGATCCTGTTTCCTCAGACTGGAAGCCTCTGTGTCCTCATCCAGAATGAATCTCAGCTGAACTGCTGCTCAAAAGCCTAAAAGTTTAACCAGACTTTAGTTCCTGGTCCTCACGCCTTATATACCTTTCTGCTTCCTGCCATCACTTCCCGGGATTAAAGGCTCATGTCGCCATGCCTGGCTGTTTCCAGTGTGGCTTTGAACTCACAGAGATCCAGACAGATCTCTGCCTCTGGAATGCTAGGATTAAAGGCATGTGCTACCACTGCCTAACCTCTATGTTTAATATTGTGGTTGTTCTGTTCTCTGACCCCAGATAAGTTTATTAGGGTGCACAATAGTTTGGGGAACACAATATCACCACACAGTCCCTTGACACCAGCAGCAGTTCTAAGAGGACCATCCTAGACTCTGCTTTGATCTCTGCTTTGTAGCATCCACCTTTCTGATTTTTGCCAAGCATTATGAAGCCTATGAAGATAATCTCACCGTCTACTAATTGCCTTCTCTCTGGTTTCTTATGAGTTTGAACATCACTTACATATTTGTTGGGCAATCCATTCTTTTCCTGTTCTGTGTATATTCTGTTTGCCACTTAAAAGTTGTTTATCTCCTCCATACTGATTTGCAAGATCTTCTTATACTTCACGTATATTTTAGATGTAAACCCATGGCTGCTTTCAGACATTGCACATGTCTTCTCCCATACCCATAAAGATTGCACATTTGGGTTTTAATACACCCCAACCTCACTTTTGCTTATGAGTCAGGAGTCTCCGTATTTTTGTCTATATGTGTGACATAAAGAACTAAGAGAAATCTATTTAAAAGACAGGAAGATTAATTTGACTCATTGTTGGGAACTGTGCAGCCTAATTTCAGACCAGTATATGAGTGCTTGTCCAATGAATCTCCAGATGAGGCAAAAGCCCATGGGGACAGTTTCACTTAGCAAGGACCAGTGGACTTTAGGGACAGCACAGAATACTGCTGGGACTATACAGCCCACATGCTCTTTTCTCTCTTGTAATATTGATGATTCTCATGGTGGTTTTAGTATCATTTTGTCAATCATGTATTGGACAGATGTGATCATTCTGGGAAAACCCATTTTTTTCCTTGAATATCTTCCCCTAAAATTCTTTGGGAACTGATGCTTCTCAGGCTTCTTGTCTGGGGATGCCATCTGTCACTTGAGACCCCAGGAGCTGTTCTAATTCAGTGCTGACAGGATCGGAGGATGATCATCACTATTTCTGTAAATACGTTTTGAACGGGATTGTTGTTCTTGCAAATGTGTGCCTCTGTCAATCACCTTTTAGTTTTTGTAAAGACAGAATGTACCTGGCTCAATATTTGGCCAAGCTAGCAAAATAATAAATGTTGTTTTTGGTTTAAAGATGTTTTGAGGTAAAAGTTGGGGGGGGCTGTATTTGACAAACTTGTTTTTGCTGGAGGTTAACAATGGAGGATGGGAAAAACTTGTTTGTTAGTATGGAAAAACACGCTTGTTTTGATGTATAAATAAAGATGGCTGAAGCTATTTGGGGCCTGCCTGTAGCTAATGTCTTCCTGCCTGGCCCACAGTCAGGACAAATCTCTCTCACCTGCCAGTCCCACAGCCATCAGACCCGACCAAGTAAACACAGAGACTTATATATTGGTTACAAACTGTATGGCCGTGGCAGGCTTCTTGCTAACTGTTCTTACAACTTAAATTAACCCATTTCTATTAATCTATACCTTGCCACATGGATCGTGGCTTACCGGCATCTTCACATGCGGCTTGTCATCATGGCGGCTGGCAGTGTCTCTCTGCCTCAGCCTTCCACTTCCCAGCTCTGTTCTCCTCCTTGTCCCGCCTATACTTCCTGCCTGGCCACTGGCCAATCAGTGATTTATTTATTGACCAATCAGCAACACATTTGACATACAGACCATCCCACAGCACCTGCCACTTGTGTGAAACTCCTCTGGTGGCTGGACAGTTCGTTTCTTTGCACCGACGCCACTTCCCTGTCTTAGGATCTGAACCCGGGCTGTAGCTGGACCGCAGTAGCTCAGGACTGCAGAGGGTTCAGTGCATGGGTGGTATGGGTGAACCTCATGGGTGGCATGGAGCTTATTATAGAGCAAAGCTGATCATCTCATTGGTGGCCAACCAGCACAGGGCCTGCTTTTATAACAAAGCTCCTTCCCACAATTATTCAGTTTGGTCTTCAAGAGGAAGAAGTTTGGTGTGTCTTTTTCTAATATGAAAGGCAAAGCTATCAAGGGTAACTTGTTTCTTATTACACCAGACTGAAGGGGGCTGTCAACAGCCTGTGATGACAATAACAATGGGTAGAAATTATTCTTAAGCCCTTTATACCACATGCAACAGTACTGTTGTGACCTCAGAACTATTTGCTTCCCTTCTGCAGCCCATGGATATCAGTCAGGGCTGGTCAAGAAAATGGAAGTTACTCTAAGTTTGAGGAGCAATGAAAGACTTAATATAATGAAAGGCTGGGTTAAAAAAAGTAATAATTAAGGCCAGTTTTTTTTTTTATTAATTTATTTTGCAATACAATTCAGTTCTACATATCAGCCACGGATTCCCTTGTTCTCCCCCCTCCCGTCCCCCTCACTTTCCCCCCAACCCCCCCCCATTCCCATCTCCTCCAGGACAAAGCCTTCCCCACAGACTGAGGTCAACCTGGTAGACTCAGTCCAGGTAGGTCTAGTCCCCTCCTCCCAGGCCGAGCCAAACAATCCTGCATAGGCCCCAGGTTTCAAACAGCCAACTCATGCAATGAGCACAAGATCTGGTCCCACTGCCTGGATGCCTCCCAAACAGATCAAGCCAATCAACTGTCTCATCCATTCAGAGGGTAAGGCCAGTTTTTAAAACCTTTAAAGGATGGAGGTCTTGTTACAACCAAAAATTCCAGTTCCTAATAGCATTGAGATTGGTGATGGTTAGATGGCCACCCAAAGACCATAGGAAAATACCTGGTAGCCTCTGCTATATTCACCTGTCCTCCAGGAACTACTGCGAAGAGTAGGTGCTTCTCCTTTCCATCTTCTAAGCCTCACTCAGTTGTCACTTATCAATGGACTCTAATTAGGGGATCCTTCCTGTAACGGAGAATAGGAATGATAATCATAATCTCTAGACTTTATCTTCCTGGAGGCAGGGTAGGGGTGGGAGTAGAAGGATGGAGATGGTACTGAGCATTAACAAATTGTATGTTGTGCTCTGTGTCTACTTTTTCGCCATCATTGAATTCAGAAGTAGATCTTGGCGGATGGGTGAAGGCAAGAGAGTCCCAGGTCGGGAACAGGACCCCTTGATAAGAAATGAGAGTCTTCTGCCACCTCAGGCAGGAATACTATGTGCTCCATGAGCCAAGGACACTGTAGGTGTTAGGAGTCGGTCAGCGGGTGGCTTTACTGTTGGAGCAAGATTACACTGCATTTCTTCTACTAAGGTGGATCATATGATTCTTGAAGTTGCTGCTTCTGCAAATTTGAATATGATCTTATCACGGTACTATTTCAAATAGCACATCAGTGGCTTCCCGTTGATCTTAGGATAAAATTTGAACTCTATACTTGTTTGAACTTCTTTACTTCCAAGGCCATGAAGGATCTAGGCTGTAACCACAAAACAAGTTGACAGTCAAGCTGAAATTATAGCCCAGAGAGGGTCTAATGTGAGAACAATCATAAGAATATTCAAGACTAGTTCATAAAGCAGTATCTCCAAGTGCCTAAGGGTCAAGAGTCTAGTGCCTATGGAGTAGCAAGGAAATGAGACAGGGTGTGAGGCACACCTTACAAGTATCTATTAAGGCTGGAAATGTGTGGGTCTTGTTGGCACCTATTTTTGAGACAGTGCCTCATGTACCCCAGGCTGGCCTCAAACTCACTATATATGTAGCCAACAATAAATCTGAACTTCCAATCCTCCTACAGTCACACCCTAAGTGTTGGGATGGCATATGTGGGCCAC